AATTTGACTTGTCAGACGACCTGGTGCAATCGAATATTAACTACTTCTTGTCAACGCTGCTACTGAAGCCGATTCCCTTGAACGTGCTAGAGGCCATGCCCGAGAGTCTGGGAGGTGGGGCGTCTGGAGTGGCTAACGCCCACGCCCACCGCAACCGCGAGCCCAACATCTTCTGGACCACAGTCGCACTCTACGTGCTCATCGTTTTCTTGATTATCGCAATCCAAGTGATTAACTGTTGCTGCTGTTGCGGTGGTGGTGGTTGTGACGAAACAGGAGTACGTTGGCACCATTCAATTTTTTCGTTTGAAATTGCACTGCTTTATGCTATTTTAAGTCACTTTGTTAACAGCATTCTAAAAATACTCATACACACTTGATCTAGTCTAGTAAAATTACCACATACATCTTCATTCCATCTTTTCATGGAGGCTGACAACATGTAGTGTTAGTGTCATCCGGTTTCAAGTAACTGTTCGTTAGCAGTGCTTTGGTGCTCTCTTTCAGGTGTATGGAACGATGAATCCTTTGCAAGTGGCTGCGTTGCGCAGCGAATTCGGACACAAACAACTAGTGTGCCGCATCGCGTACATCGCAGTCCTGGTAATCACGATGGCCTTCCTGGCAGCCTGCATCATCCTCATATTCGTCTACTTCAGCAGCATCGGTGTGCTCATGAGCTACCTGGAAGCCCACAACGGGAGTGCAGAGGAGACGAGTTCCATCCAAAATGGACTGCAAGCACTCACGACACACGTGACGCAGTTCTTGAATACAGGCATTGAGTCTGGACGCACGCTGACTAATGCATCTCTTAGCGACTTCATGAATAAAACGAACGTAAGGCAATCTCAAACCTAGACGCCTAAGAATATGTTATTTAGGTCCCCTAGTGTCGTTAGTGCGACATATTACGCTTGATTTTATAAAGAAGCTTGATGTCTTTAGCTAGTGTTGGCTGGCACGAATCTTGTGAGTAGGTCGAGTCTTCAGGGCTTACAAGTGATCTACTAACGCTACTTTCTGTATACTTTGTTCCTTTTCAATGCACAATGAAATTCACTTGGTTTGACGCAAGCTGATTGCGTTACCAATTGTAAACGTTCCTACGCGAATCAGTTTTATGATGCGTTTTGGGTAACTGGTTGGTGACACTGCTTTGTCCTAGGGTTTGTGCACGTACATATCAGATTGCGTGAACAATTGTACATTTTCTTACTCGACTGGCTGACTGGTCGGTGAGACTGTTCTGGCATAACTTCCTAAATGAATGTGTTGTACGTTCTTTAGGCGCGAATCGCATCCGGACTCTCTGGAACGATTGATGATTTGCTGGTTTATCTGAATGTGTCGAATGTTTTGACGAAAGGAAACGACACTGTTAAAGCGGTGAAAAATTTCTCCGCCTACGTGACCAATGCAAGTACTTCGGTTGAAGCCTTAATTAAGGGCATTGACGTTCTTTGCAAAAGGATGGATGAAGCCCGTAAAGAATTTAATACTTCGTTTGCTATGGTTCCAAATTGCAGCACCGAAAATGAATGCCAAAGCTTGAAAGTGAGTGACCATCTTTACCACTCAACCGTTAACTGGAATTCATGATGATGATTTTAATGGATTTTGCTAATGAGTGGGCAAACGCACAGAAGCATCAAGCCATGTACAGCCATGCACATGGACCTGTGGATGAAAACATGTTAAATCATAAGGTCAGGACTATAAAAAAATTTCGTTATAATTGCAATCAAAAAGACTTTGCTTATAGCTTTAACTCTCCAGATAAACAATTTGCTTGTTTCCGTTTTCTTTGTAGACAGCAACAGAAATGTTGTATTGTCCAATTGATCTCAGTGCAATCAACGCAACAGCAACGAAGAACTTTACCACAGAACTACTAAAAACGGTAGCTGAATTCGAGCAGAAATTGGCAAATGTCTCTAATGCAATCAACGATATTAAATCGTCTGCAGCAGATATGGTTGGCTCGGTTGAGGAAAAACTTGACCTCAAAACGGTGCTCGATTCGATCAACAAGTTTTGGGATGACACCAATGCACAGGTTGGTGGTGTGACCAAGAATCTGGAAGACCTCTCCACCTCTGTGGACAGC